GTGAGATTTCAGAGCTCAAAATTTGAGCCAAAGGCACAATATTTATTCACTTTTTGGTGATAAGAAAGTTTGTGCTCCTAGGATAACATATAGGAAAACTCAGAGGCTATGTGTTCTCATTCTAGAGTTCTTAAGACAGATTTGAACTTGTGGAAGAACTTCCCTTTGGCCTAGTTTCTATGTTTTGTGATGGGTATAAATGCATAAGCTTGCCTGAGGGACAGAGCACGATATTTTTGTTCTAGATTTAAAATAGCCTCAAGTGACTGGTGAAGACTGCAGGCCTCCTCCTGGCATTGCTTTTGATCTGCCTTTGTGTCTGTCTGTCTGGGGCAGTAATGGATGGAAGTCATGTGGGGACGGAGAATGATGCTGGCACTCCTGAAACTGAAAGGCTAAACTGGGTCCCCATTATGAACAGAATAGGGTGACTAGGCCATTTTCCCCTCTACAGCCTTGTGAGTACACTCTTGCGTTCAAAAGCCCAGATGCTTCCAGGCTGTGAACACACTTTGTGACAGGGGCACATGTGTTTTCTTATAATAGTGCAAGGGAAACTGAACTCCTTTTTATTTTTTTCCTGGGAAAGTGTGATTCTGTCAGAAAAGGTAATCAAATGTACAAATATTTATTTTAAGGGAAGCTGGTGTAAATGCTTCAACACTAAAAGAATATCATGAAAACTATAGAGATATACTAATAGAGATCGCTATACTTGACAGATCTTTAAGTTAGATATTTATTATGCATTTATTCAACAAACACTTACTACACAATAATTACATTTTAGGTACTATTTTTGACATTAGAGATACAATCTTGCACAAATAAGGCACGGTTTTATGTGATGGAGCTTATATGTGAGATGCTGCTTTCAAAGGGAGATACCCAATTCTTGCCAACATCAGTTGAATAAAAACCAACAGGATTCAGATAGCAATAGTCTTCACATAATGTGATTCCAAACTACACAGTAATAAATGCAGCAGTATATATACAGAGACGATTTTGTTTTATGTAACAAGGACATGCTCTACAGTTTATTACAGCCTGTATGCAAATAATTTTTGCTGAGATATTTCCAAGGGCCAGATTTAGGAATAAAATAGAAAAGCAGCTGTATTTATTTGCATATATTTACATGAACACTGCACACTCTTCATTGGAAATTAGAATTTTAAAGTTACCTCCAAACTGTAATTTCAAAGTTTTCTTGTCTCAATACCTTCTTCTAAACCTATTCGTGGTTTCCCAAGTATCCCTACTAGAGGTTTGGAATTCATATTTAAAAGCTTTTCCTCACTAGCCATATTCAAAAGATATAACATTTGCCTTTCATAAATGTCACAGATGTGCAACGTGCTGAAATCTGAGCCCAGAGAAAGCGACAGCCAGAGTAACAACCAAGTGTGTAGTGCTGGGGAACAATGAAAGAAAATGAGTGAGCCCCACATCTCCTAATGTCAGAGCTAAAGGTTGGTTCCACTTGTAAGCCTCTTCATGTCCAGAAAGAATAACAAGCCTTCAGTGTATTTTTAGATAGTTCATGCTTTCACGGAAGCTCTAAGAGTTAATGCGTGTTTCTAATAATTAAAAACAATATCAACAATGGCTATCACATGTCATTTCTTTGATGTATGCCAGTGACTTTGCTAAATGTCTTTGTCATTTTATTTCATTGATAGCAAAAAAAAAAAAAATCCTACGAGGAGGGCAATATTACTATATTTCATTTTTTGTTAAAGAAATTGAAATTCACACAAGTGGCCTGAACCAAGAGAAAGAGTTAATAAGTAGGCTAGCCAAGATTCAAGTTAGATTCCAAATATTGAAAGGTTTGCCTCGACTTATTCTGCTAAGAAAAGCTATAGGCAATAAGTGAAACAGGATAAATCATGTGTGTGAGAAAAGCAAACTAAACCATTTAGATAGGAATGGAGATGGTGTTAATACATATGTAAAGTGTCTGTGTGGTAATATGATTATACATTCTTTATATAAGTTACATGCATACAGAATATAGATAGTTAAATGTATTAAATGTATTTTAAAAAAATATTGTCATCCCCTTTACTGAAAGCAGCAGTTAAAAAAAAAGCAAAATCTAAATGATCAGCCAAGAAATATTGGAAAGGTGAATGGGTCTGGAATACTAAATCAGCCTGTTAGCCCCTTTCACAGTGGCTGTTCAGTATCATAATAGAGTATACATACCACTTGAACTGAGAATTTCAGATTTCTTGGTACTAATCTGTAATCCTTAATCCTTAAAAGAATCTTAAAAGCCACACATTATAAAAAAGAAATTAAAATAAAAACTCCTAAGTGGGACTATTACATTAAAACTTGACTTTTAGCCCTTTAAATAATTTTGCTTAGAAAGAAAATGGCAGTTTTCATAATTTAAGAACTGGTCGACTTGCTTGCAGATGATGCTCAGATTTACCAGAGATATGTTCCTGTTTTAGGTTCTTGAAAAAATGTAACAGAGATTACCAGGCTGAGAAGAGGCATCATTGTCCTTAAAAAAATTACTTTTACATCTTCTTCTGGTACTCCAAAACCTATAATTATCTTCATCAATTCAGAAATTTGGCTCCAAGTTCCTCCACAATCTGACTTCTCTTTCTATGTCTAACCTTCTTTCCTTTCAATCAAGCCAACATCTTAACTCTATCTGACACGATGTCTTCATGTACTTCCATTTCCTCCTTCACATCATTGCTTCTGTTTATAAATTACAGTTTCTGTATATAAGCCATGTCTGTTCTCCTTTTCTTTACCCTGTGCAGATTTAGTTTCAGTTTTCCTGTTCCACAAGACACATCCTGAAGAGTCCTATTACACTTGTAATCATTACCTCTTACCATTGTGTGTGTGTGTGTGTGTGTGTGTGTGTGTGTCTGCTTTTTGTTTGGAGAGCACTTTGGTAATGATACAAAAGAAAAAAATGTGCAGTTTCTTTACTCCACAACGACACTATTAAAGATACATATGTGTGTGTGTGTGTGTGTGTGTGTGTGTGTGTTTCTGATTTAGCCCTCACAAAAATTTTACTACAATAAATGGTACTATTGCCCCATTTACAGACATATGGATATAGGTTTCTATCTGCCCATGAATGGTGAAATGTGATTCAAGACATAGACAATGGTAGCCTAAGTGGGGTTCAACTGATGTGGGGGAGACTTGCTTTTCATTATATGTCTTTCTATGCCATTTTAAAAAATTACTTATACAAATTTAAATGCATAATAACAACAGAGAAGAAAACATCTGATTTTTCCCCTGTAGCTGGACTGTGAACCCTTTTGGGAGGATGCAGTGATCTATCAAATTGTATTGATACATTTAGTAGATCTGCTGCTGGAGCACTTACGTTCATTGGAGACAAAATAATGCAAATGCAGCTTTGACAAATAAAGATTCTTAGAAAAGGCAAACTCTGCTCTCTTTTTTGGGGATATAATATTTTACTTATTTCATATTTGCAGTGTTGTAAGAAGCAAGAAAACTGCTTTTTAACAACCACTATAGAAGAAAACTTCTATAAATTTTGTTCAAGGTCGACACTTGTAAATATAAGATCTTTTGGAGTGATTCTGCCATTGTTTGAACAATTCATTTTTAAGAATTTGTAAAGCATTATAAAATACATTTATATGCTTAAACTTTTAGTGATTTTTACCTGCTTATGCCTGAATATTAATGAATCAAGTAGTTACTTTTATCAGAGCCATTCAGGAAACCAAAACTCATGTAAAGTAATTCAATTAAGTAGTAATAATTTAATATGGGGAATTATTTTCAAAGGTGTTGGGAGACCTAAGGAGCCACTAGCGAATGATGAGATTATCTGTTGTTGGAAGTTGCCATACTCTCTGATAAGGTCAAAGGTCAAAGGCTGAGGCCAGGAGCTGAGGCCACCAAGCTGAGGCTAGGACCTTGGCGACTGGGCCGTTCAGGGAGAACAGGAGCCCTGGAGGAGAATGCCAGCTGCCAGAGGTGAGACGAAAGCAGAAAGAAGAGAGAAATACCCTGGCTTCTCTTTTCTGCCAGGTCCTTCTGCCACTGCCTCCCAGTGACTGAAGTGGGCCAGAGGTCAATTGGCAAGGGATCTTGGGAAATCCAGTTTGCAGAGACCATCTCCCCACCCCGTCAGCAAAGGACGGAGGAGAATGTTGAGGGAAAACATGCAACTAAGCTGCCCCCTATTGAGCACTTAACACTATAGACAGAGGCATCCTGCATTCTCCTTCCTTTGTCCCGTGTCTTCCCTGCAGAGGCACTTTTAACTCTTAGCTGTTTCTGCTGTAGTTTTATTCGTATTTCTAAATAAAATTCTACATTGCTATTGAGTAAATTTTCAGGTTGAAATATTATCTATTGATCTTTTTATTATGATGGATATATCTTCCTCTCCATTTTTGTAATAGAATTATCGCAACAGAATGATCTCAGTTTTAAATGTAAATCAAGAAGTGTTTCATCTGTCTGATAGAAATGCTGTGCTTACTCTCCTTACATTGTATGAAGATTTGATTGGAAGAATAATCAGTTGTTCTTTCACTTGCATAATTTCCCATTCTTATACCCTAATTGTTCTCTGTGACCTACAGTATCATCTACCTTTCTACTAAGGTGGTGTTTTGTTTTGTTTTGTTTTGTTCTGTTTTAATGAGAAGAACCTCTTTTTGGAGGCTGCTTTCTCTTGCTCTGATCTGGACTGGCTGCTCTTTAGTTTAGCTATGTGCTGTCATCTGGGGCTTTGTGTTACTAATTTCCTGAATTGGATACACTGTATTCTAGAACCCTCTTCCTCCTTAGTGACTTTGTTTTTCTGTGGCATATCTTAAAGGAACTTTAAAAAGAAGGATGCAGAAGAAGCAGTGCACCTGCAAATACAGTTTTTTTTGTTGTTTATTTTAACAAAACCTCAAGGACGAAATTGTTTTTCTTCAAAATTTATAAGGCTTTGGTCCATTGTCTTTTAGCAAACAGGTTTGCAGTTGATCAGTCCAAAGCGATTCAGATTCTTATTCCTTTGTATGTGATCTGTGTTCTTTTTTTCTGTAAAATATTTAGGATCTTTATTGCTGACATAGGCATTGTTACTTTCTGGAATGTAAGATACTCTAGATGGGGTGTCAGCCTTTTCTTTCATTGACCCCAAATACCAATAGTTGGAGGTCTTCTCTGTGGAGACTTTTAGTGTCTTCTGAGAAGAATTCTTTGACATCTTGCCTGGAGAACAGATGTAGCTGGAAATCGGGATAGCCTAAATGGCCTCGAATCCTGATCACTGGGGAGTGGGGCTGTGGTTTGAAAACACAAAACAGAGGTTATTCAATCAAATTTGATAAATCAGGGAGACAGTAATGAAACAAAAATATGGTTTAGTTACACAACAAACTGCCTGTCTTGTGTAGCTCAAACGTACTGTTCTGTAATTGGCTCTGTGGTGCTGGGATGGAAATGTAGAGACTCCATCCATGTTTTGCAGTCTGGCTTCTGCCAACAGGAGACACTAGAGGGACACAGGGAGGCGGGAAGTGAGGGGTGAGTTTTCCTTCCTGTTAACATTGCTCAGGGGCAGCATTCGCTTTTGTAGTAGTTGATAAAACCTTTGTTCCCCACTCCCAGAAACATTATCATCATCCCCTACTGAGATGCCAGCACCAGCCAGGCAGCACCGCCTCTTTCCCGCCCCAAGAAAATCTGAGTCCTGGCTCTCCAGGGTCCCTTCTCAGATTTTGAGCTACTCCATCAAAGTAACCAGGCTCCTTTCATGGGTCTGGGTCACAGCTCTGCAGGACCCTTTTCCCAAGATTCTAGGTTATGGTGAGCCCATTGTCTTCCCTTTGTTCCAGCCCAGGAGGCGTTACCTAATTATCCTCTTGTCTTTTGGCTTTTCAGGCCTCCAGGACTCCTCTCTGTTAAAATGTTGGTATGGTTTCCTTTTTCATGACAGGGCTGTGACTGAAATACTTCTGACCTGACCTTGAAACAAGTGCAGAAGACATTAAAAAATGTGAGTAATGATAGCATCACTTGAATATTCTATAGGAGAAAGAGCACAGTGTTTTCAACTAACTGCTGCCTTTTAAGTCCCCTAGACTGAAACTTGTCTCAGTTGCTATGGTGTGAGTTTGATGTTTCTGAACTCCTGTTTCCACATGGCTAAAGTAAGCATAACCTATTTTCTTGGTCAGGTATCAGCCGTAAATGAGATAGTAGATGTGAAATGCTTAGAACAGTACCTGGCACATAAGTTTTCAATAAGTTCTATTTAACACATTAGAAATAAAGAAAAGTTGGCTAAGTTAAAATGGTTGTGTGTGTTCACGCTGAGTAAAAAGTCATCAATGTATGTTCTCCGTGTGTGTTTTCCCTTTAAGAACTTAACAATGCTATGTCACTACTAGGAATTCAAAAAGATTACTTTATTTATTTTGGAAACTAGTATTGAAATTGAATTCCAAAAGATTCTGTCTAGTGAAAGCTAATTCACATGTGGTTAGGTGAATTTCTCACTGGCTTTTCCTGTTTTCCACTTAAATAAATTCCCTTTATCTTCCTTCATTTCCTTTTTTTCTCCATCAGGCATTTGCATTTCTTAGGTGCTTAATCTGTGTCCAGCACTGAGTTTACAAATATAAACGGTGCTCTTGTTTGGTTACTTTATAGCACACTAAATTTGTTTCAAATACTCTTTGGGTCAATTCACTGAAATTAACCAATGCTCCAAATCTCTTTCAATGAAATGTCCATTCATTCTTGACAGTCTCTACTTTACATTTTCTCACAGGAATGGGTAAATTGCATCATGCAGATAATAGTTTGAATTTCAGAGCATTTTACAGTTTTCCAAGTTTCTAAAAATATGTTATGAGCCTCATCTCTCACAATGAACCTATTCTGGAATTATGCACACAAGTAAAGAAACATTGGTATTTTAAGTCTGCTCCTCCAGGCCAGATGTATTCACTTCACAATTAAGTCTTTTTTCTCATGCGGCAAACGCTCCTTTATCAGCAGTTTCGCTTTCAGCACTTTCAGTTACCTGAAGCCAGCTGGGGTCTGGACGCCGAGGATCCTCCTGAGAATCCTGGGAAGTTCAGTAGGAGCCCACCGCTACGTCACAGCGCTGCGTCATCCGAGACGCAGGCGCTTCACCGTCGCATGTCAGCACCCGAGGAAGTGGGGTGAGTTCCGCACCATGAAATTTTTTTAGAGAGAGCCCACGTTCACAGAACTTTTATTAGAGTGTTATCATTGCTCTATTTTTAAATTGTTGTTGTTAATCTCTTGCTGTGCCTAATTTGTCAGTTAAACTTTATCAATGGTGTGTGCTTGTCGGAAAATCCCTCGTGTAGATACCCATGGTTTCAGGCGACCTCTAGGGGATTGATACATAAACCTAGCGGACAAGGGAGGGACTTTAATGTCACTTGACTATCTGCTCTGTAAGCTTTTTTAAGGTCCCACAAACGTGAGCTGCCCCTCCTTGGCTGTAACAATCACTGAGGAAATGGTTGAACCAACCTATTCTTTACGTCCAGTTTCTCCCCTTTTGTACCTTGTTCTCAGAATGAGGGGTGAGACATAGCATGTTTGACTCTTCTGGGGGACTTTTGTTTGCTTGGTTTTGTTTTCGGATGACTTTGGGGTAGTGTGGGTGCATAGCCGGTGGGCAAGGATTGACAATTGGAAACCTGTGTGTTAGAGTGTTGCCAAATGAGCCCGTGGAGTTTCCTTACCTGAAAATCTTAAAACTAGAATAGAATCTCTGCCTAACATGGGTTTTATTTTTTATTAAAGTTAGAGAAATCAGTTTATATTAAAATAACTTAAGATACATTCATCTTAATCTGTTTTATGATTCTGTTATATAAAAGCTTCAGAATAAATATCTGGGATCACATTTCACTAAAATGATTTATTTTGTCAGTTTTTCAAAGACTCAGCAGCAGAATTAATAGGAAATATGAAGCCGTTTGTGTGGCAGGTGCAGTATGTTAGACTACCACTCAGTTAAAGATTAAAGAATTTAGGCTCTAGTCCCATCTCTCTTACTCATTAGCTTTGTGGTCCCTGGAAGGCAGTATGTTTGCAGTATCTTATAAAATGAGGTGAATGAATGAAGTAGTCTAAAGATCACCCAACGCTAATTCTCTAATTTCTGGTTAAAAAAAAAAGTAGGTTTTCACCTACCAGATCAGTTCAAAGACATGGGTACAACTATCAAATCCCCATTCACATAGACACACATAGACACACATAGACACACATAGACACACACACACACACACACATACACACACACACGTGATACATATATCTGACTGATTTATGATTTTAGGTGAGTGAAAATACAGATGATGATTATTATATGAAAACATGTATATCTATTTCTATCTCTGTCTCTCTGTCTACACACAGAATGGCCAAATTAGCCAAAGGGAGGAATTCTAACGAGTAGACAAGGGGTTAAATTTGTTCCTTTGCTGCACTGCGACCCCCAAAATAAGTTCTGTATATAGAATATTCCTAGCTTTGGTTTAGGAAGGAAAAAATATAATTTATTTTATGTTTTGAAGTAAATGAAAGTGGGATAAATGTATATATATAGCTACCTAGGTGTATATATTGCTACATATCAGATGAACTCTGACTCATTATCTTTCATGATATGACTAAGAATAGAGCCACATCAAAAGATAAACTAGCATTTAGTTAGTATAACAATCTAAATAATATGAAACCAAAAGTTTTTACTCTGAATTATCCGTACTTTTTCTGAGCTTTATTTTGACACAAACGTTTTTGAACACTCTAGCAAGTGAGAATTGAAGATGTGAAAAGGGGTCAGAAAGGACGTAAATTAGGATCAGTGGCCCCAATTTGGTTTACTCCCAATGGGCCAATCAGAGGTGATGAAGAATAGAATTCAATGGAGAGCTCTGAACTTGGATGTGAGAACAAGATAAAACTCCCTGTAGATTCCTGTATTCGTTTATCTCTCAAGTTCTTAAATCATTTTGATATAGCTGCTTGACTTCAATACCAAATCAGATGCATTTATGAGCCCTGTCTATTTATTCAGCTTGCTTGCAATCTATTTCCTGTTGTATCTTAACCAATCTTAAGTATACACATTTAAGAGTTTTGAGCAATGACAGGATAAATTGTCATGCTTTTAAAATGCCCTACTTATTTGCATTTGCAAATCCCAAAACTAGACATCTTAAAATGTGGTATACTTGTTGAAATAGTTCATTATGGTAACTAGAGATGTAGTTGTAGTAATTTGATCTGAAATATTGAAAAATTATATATTTTCTTTAAAAATATGAGTTCTGCATAATATTTTATATCGTTCTTTAGTTCATTTTTTTTTCCTTTTGTGGTATTTTGTCATGGTCTTGTGTCATATAATATGAATGGAAGACTGACTTCATAGACTATGGAAGATAAGTAATTTCATTGAAAATACTTCTTGATGAAAGCCTATGTCCAAATTACATGTATACTCCTAAAAATAACATCTTAATGATTTCTTTCTAGTCATAGCATCTCAATGCTCTACTGCATTAGGACTTTTTGGTAAATATTTTATACTTGGATTTATAACTTGATGTTTGCCAGAAAATGTAGGCTAACGACTGAAATCCTAAAGATATTAGGAAGCAGAGAATTGGTCCAAATAGAAGTTTAATTCCACGACCAGAACTTTGAGTTTGTGTTGTTCTGGTTTGCACTAAGAGTCACAGTTTCTGTGGAAAACAAGAAAAAAATAAGTTGATCTCTTATTCAGTAGTTTTAGAAATCACTCGTAGGAAGTATTTCTGTATCTAGCTGTTTAAAGGAAGAAGGAGGAGAACTCAAATCATTGAGAGATAACTTAGAAAATTAAATAAAAGGAAGGTTTACTCACAGAAAAGCAGTGGGTGGGGAAGAAAGGCAGGTTTTAAAAAAAAGTAAAGAAGTGATGGGGAGATGTTCAGGGGGGAATGTAAACCTTGGCCCGAGATATTGTTAGTGAAGTGTGATGAGAAATTTGTAAGGAAGAACAAACACTGTTTTATATAAAGTAAGTTTTATGTTCATTTGAGCAGTTGTGGAGGAACACATGCTTCCCCGGCAGACCTTGGAAGTGTTCCTGAGCCCCAGAGCTCTCGTGCTACACACACCATCTCCACTTGAAACTTGCTTTGACCGCCATGTATTTCTTCCTTGCCTACCAAGTTATTACCATGATAATTGTTGAATTTCTCATTACAGAAGCCAGCCTTCCATGAATATTATATGTAGCTATTATTTGCAGACATGGTGTCAGTTTTTTAAGAAATATGGAAATTCTGTAATTTGAGGTGATTCATTATTTATCTTTTTTCATAATTTTAATGAATGCAAGTATCTCTTATTCATTAAAAATAGAACAACAAAAATACCCATCTAGCCATTATCCTTATGATTGATCTGTCCCATTTTAAGCTAAAGAGCCAAGCAGAGCACCTGAAAACATCTTAATTCTTCTTTAAAGATCATCTTCACACTAAAATTATTTGCTTCTGGAGATCACTAATTTCATTTTATGGATATGAGGGTATTTTTTCTAGACTGAGGTAGATACATTCCTTTTCACTCATCCCATTCAAGAAATTCTTAGTAATAAAGCAGAACCAAATGGCATATATTAAATCATTCATTTCATCTTTGGGGAAGACCGTTCCAAGGAAAATTTGCAGAGTAAGTTGAGAGTGGTTCTTTGATGTCATTGTAGGAGTGACAACCAGGGGTATTTGTTTTATTTTGTTTTATTTTAATTAACTAATTAATTAATTAATTAGTATTATTAAGGTATTGTTGATACACACTCTTATGAAGGTTTCACATGAAAAAATAATGTGCTTACTGCATTCACCCCTGTTGTCATGTCCCCCTACACCCCATTGCAGTCACTGCCCATCAGTGTAGTACGAAGCCAGAGTCACTATTTGCTTTCTCTGTGCTGCACTGTCTTCCCCATGACCCCCCCACACCATGTGTGCCAATCATATTATAGGGTATTTGTTTTAAATGCTGGTAAATACATAGCAACATACGCTGCTTATGCATATCAAGAGGTATCTAAAATGATCACATAATTACTCATCATTATTTAGATGCCAGAAATTCCTGGAGTTGATACCCATGCCCCTTTCTCAGCTTTTAAGGAGCCTCCTGGCCTCTGTGATTTTGCTGCTTGGTGGTCATTAAAATGACCAGTCACTGTCCATGAACTGCTGTTTTGATGATAGGGAAGGATATCTTCTAAAGATGGCTTGGCAGTGGGAAATATTTCATGTGATTGTTAAGAAAAAATATAATTTTCTAAGAAGTAATCTTTAGTTCTTCTGTAATTCTTTACATATGTACCAAGCATAAGGCAGTTGTTATTTTCCTCAAAATTACCCTTCAGCAAAATTACCCTTCAGAAGAGAGGACTTTCTGTATCCATAAGAAGTCTTTCAGTCATTTTGTTTTGAACATCCAAGTTCAGGTTTCCCTGAAATGATTTCAGACTGTGCTAAATTTTGATGTTTATTAAAGTCACATTACCTAGTGCATAGAAAAGAAATTTAAAACAGTTTTTGTAATTATTCCTTGGGAAAACCTCACAATTGCAAGTGTTGGATATGGTTATAAAGCAAGTCTTTTGACAGTTTCTTGAAAATAATCTTTAAAATGAAAGACTTTGTCATTTTCATACAAATCCTTTGTTTCTTGAGAACTTGGAAGAACAAAGTGCTAAACTCCAACATACAAGGAGGACTATTTCCAAAGAGAGTGGTGCCTGAATTTCTTGCCTCCCCCCCTCAATCTCATTTTAGAGACAAGTATCAGGGGCATGCTTTTCTTGTTCTATGCTCCTGTCTTTGCACATATGATTTTTTTCTAAATATTCTTTGTATTTTAAAGCAACTTAGAACTGAAAAATTTTATGCTGTGGAAAAGTTTAGATACCTATACACCTAACATCACTGTAGTGATGGTGGAGCTAATGCTGTCTAAGATGTATGTGAAGAGTTTGAATGAGAGAAAAGAACAACGTTTCTAAAACAATTTTTAATTTTTTAGAGCCATGTTGTCCAATTTGTTTAGTACTAGACACATAA